GCTTTCCGAGGGGTAGGAAGGTCGGAACCCTGGTGACCGACGAGCTACTGCTCGAGTCCGGGCTGCTAGATTACAACCCTGCAGTTCGTCCCATTGAATCCTCGAGGCCGAACTCCGAACTTGATATGTCGAGCTTGCTTCCCCCCTTTTTTCCTCTAACCTTGTGCTGACCCCTGTTTTTATTTTGCAGCCATGGTTTGCGGATTTGCAAGCAGCGTGAAGCGCAAGTCCAAGGGCCGAGCCCATGCTYTTGAGGCCGCCCAGAGTTCGAAACCTGCCACCCCTGCCGTGGCAGGGCCTGCCTCGGAAGATCCAGCCCCAGTGATCGAGCTGGAGTCTTCTGGGGGTCCCTCGAGGGAGAAGCGCCCCAGGGATCAGACCGAGGCGGTGGACGCCCTGCCTTTGGGCGAGGAGGTGAGGGAGGAAGTCCCTCTGAAGCGAAGGAGGAAGAAAAAGAAGACGATCTCCCCCTTGGAGGTCGGAGCTTGCGGGGTCTTGCCTGCGAGTTTCGCAGATCGGGTGGACGATCCTGAGGCCAGGATGGGCGGGACGTCCGACGTGACGGCACGGTTCAGAGTTCAGCCGTCAAGTGCCGGGGTGAGGGACCAGGTGTCCCGCATCTCGGCTGCAAGTTTGGACCGCTGCCTAAGGAGGGCGTCCAAATTTGTGAGCGACCCAGGGTCCGTTCTGCAGAGGACCATCGACTACGCCGCTGAGGTAAGACAGGTGTCCATTTTGGCTCAATTTACCTAACAGGTAGCTCGGTCTAACTTTCTTCTTTGTACCTTGTCTCAAGCGTTTGTTGCTTCCATTCAATCGGCTCTGGCCGTAAAGGCCGAGCTGGATGGGAGGGAAGTTCTGGCAGCGAGGGAGAAAGAGGAGTTCTCTGCTGCCTTGGAGGCTGCTTCCTCCACCATGAAGGATGAGCTGCTGAAGGCTCACTCTGAGGTGGAGATTTTGAAGGCCGAGGTGGAGACCCAGGCCGAGCTGCTGAAGAAGGAAGAGGACAGGCGCAAGGCCCAACTCCGAGCTGCCCATGCTATCACCAGGGGCTTGGAGAAGGAGAAGTTCCAACTCCTGAAAGAGAAGGACGACATGTTCCAGGCGCTTGAAGCGAAGGACAAGGAGCTGGAGCATGCGACTGCCGAGCTGGAGACGGCGAAGGAGCGTCTCAGCAATGGAGTCCTACTGGAGGAATCGTTTAGGTAGTATCCTGACTTCGATGGATTTGCCAAGGACTTCTCTGACGCGGGCTTCAAGTTCCTCATGAAGGGCATTGCTTCCGACATGCCTGACCTTCAGATCGATCTCARCGGTCTGAAAAAGAGGTATGCCGAGAAGTGGGCGTCTGGGCCTGGCGGCACCCCTGGCYCCCAAGCGTTGGTGGATCAGTATGTYAGAGATCTGGACTCTGACTACTYTGATCTMGAAGAGGACCAGGTCGGCACCACAYAGGAGGGCGCTCCTCAGGCGGACTCTTAGGCGATCATCCTTCATGAGGCTTTTCTCTGTCTCTCTTCTCTTYCTTTYTTGTTTGTAAGTGTCAGGGCAGAGCTGCAAGGTCTATAAGCCTTGGCTCTGCTCTTCMTTCAATAAAGGGGCTCCCATTTGTTTCTACTTTGTTGTTGGCAACCTCTTTTCTTTGCTTTTTCTTTGAACTGCAGCTAATGTCACCTCGCACCTCTT